ACTATGGCTGCAATGTGCAGAATGAACTAAAGAGGGGCAAGGACAGAATCTCAATGAGAGACTAGGATGACTTGGACCAGGTGGAGAGAGTAGAGGTGGTAAGGAATAAGATGCTGGACATATTTTTTTTTTTTTAAAAAGCCAACATATTTGTTAATGGATTGGATGTGGGATATGAAACAAAGAGAAGAGTCCAGGGTAGAGATCCTATGTGAGGAGTCACACAACCAGGTTTACACATTAGAGCAGTGGTTCTCAACCTGTGGGTCGTGACCCCTTTGGGGGTCGAATGACCCTTTCATTGTAACAATGAAAATACATCCTGCATATCAGATATTTACATTATGATTCATAACAATAGTAAAATTACAGTTATGAAGTAGCAACGAAAATAATTTTATGGTTGGGGGTCACCACAACATGAGGAACTATATTAAAGGGTCGCGGCATTAGGAAGGTTGAGAACCACTTTATTAAAGCATTCCTTCAAGTGATTACCCCTGATAATAGGCTCTTTGTGCACTTGAAAGTAGTTAATTCCTTAGGGAAAAACTCTGATTTAGAAGATTAATTAAATCTCCTAAGGAAGGATCTTTAATAAAATAAGGTCATTCTTGCTGACTGTAAACAAAAAGTCAACTAGGTATTCTTTCTGCAAAAAGGAGTTGGGAAAAAGTAAAGATTGCACTCTAGTATATACATACATGACCTTTACAAAGAGAAAGTAAGACGAAAGTAGTTCCTTTACCGAAAGGAAGGGGAAATTAAGGGGAGAGGCTGTTTTAACCACAGAGCTCAGTAAATTGTTAACACTCTTCCTATAGGACTTTCATGATCCATATAGGATGTGATTCCTGTCTTTGCTAAGGTCCTTGTCACCAATTTTGACACTTTTGCCTATGTCCATTGGGCAGTAGGGAAAGCCCCAAATCCTTGTTCCCTCAACTTCCTATTGCAATCCCAGGCTTGTTCCCGTTTTTAGAAATATCTGTTGTTGATGATATAGCCAAAGAATAGCACTCTTATGCCCTGTGACGTCCTGATCCTCCTCTTATAAATACAAGGGCAGAGCTGGGTCCAGGGAGTCAGGGAGGAAAGAGCCCAGGATCCTCAGGCCAGCACTGTCTGCACACTGGGGAGATGAAGGTCTCTGCAGCTGCTCTCTCCTTCCTCATCCTTGCTGCTACCCTTGGATCCCCTGCCCATGGATCCCTGGCCAAGGAATCCTGGGATGATGGTGAGTTCAATGAGCCTTTTCACTGGGGACCAATTGAACGGTAACTTTCAGTTAGGGAGGACACACAGAGGGACACTCTCCTGCAACATAGAGGTGAATTTGGCACTTGTTTAAAAGCAGTAGCAGCAAGTATAGACCTTTTTCTGCAGCTTTTGGTTCATGGGAAAAACCATATAAAGAAGACTTGTCTCACTTGGGGAAACAATTTTCATGGCCAGAATTATTTAATCCTTTCTCTTGGCTGATATAGGATTCTATATAGAAGATCAAAAGAACTGTACTAAAATTATAAATCTGGAGAAAGAAGCATAGAACCCTATGTTAGAACTATTATATACCATGTAGTGTAAAACTATCATTTTGAAGAAGAAATGGGACAATCTGGACAAGTGACTCACCAAAGTCCACCTAATCATTCTATCTATTTTTAAAAACTAATATCTAGCACTGTCTATGTACAAGCAGGCACTGCTCTAATTGTCTTATAGATAGTGATACATTGAATCATCTTAACAATCCTGGCATCAGGATTTTAGAGATGCTTAGGTGGGGCATGGCCAAACAAAGGTTGGGAACCACTGGTCTAGATGTATTTTGGAATGCAGAATCTTTCAGGCTTTACAAAGGTAATATAGCCCTGGCTGGTTTTCTCAGTGGTTAGAGCATCGGCCCTCGGACAGAAGGGTCACAGGTTGGATTCCCAGTCTGGGGGAGGGGGTTAGGCTGAGAAATGGGGTAGGCAGAGATACTGAGACACTGCTACCTCCAAGTGACTTCTCTTTCCTTCTTGTCTGTTTCTCCCAATAGAACCAAGCATGGTGATGCATCAGTTGAATCCCAGAGGGCCCTCTCCCGGTTAATGAGCCTGGCCAGGGTAATTCAGCAGTTGAGTGTTGACCCAGGAACCAATAGGTCACTGGTTCAATTCTGGGTCAGAGCACATGCCCAGGTTGCAGACTCAATCCCCAGGAGAGGCCGTGCAGCCTCTCTCTCATCGAAATTTCTAACACTCTATCCTTCTTCCTTCCTTTCCTTCTAAAAATCAGTGAAAATACTCATGTGTTTTTTTAAAGAAGGTAAATGTTTAGTTGTAGCATATATTTAAATGCGGCTGGTGGGTACAGATCTGCTCAGTGGCTTCATTCACCTTTTTAGAGGACATGGGGAAAGAGAAAGGGTGTTGAGGATGGTGAACATGTACAGGGAAGATCAGATTGGGCCATGGGTCCCTCCTCCATTGATGACCTCTTCCTCCTGCCTGTCCTGGAGAAGGCTCACCTAGGGGAGAGGGTGCTCTCTGATGCCTCCTGCACGCATCAAACCCTTCCACTTCTGGGAGAAATGGTCCTGGCCCTCTTGTGTCCTTGGCCTGGGTGCCTCAACCCGGGGAAGTGTGAAGCAAGGAGATGCCAGCAAATGCTGTAGAGGAGGAAAACACGCCCTTTGAGCCCTGTGCCTTCTCACCGTCCCCAGTACTTTGGAAGGAAGGAGGAAAGGAAATAGTCTTTTCCAAAGACTGCCTTTTCTCTTACTACAGGCTTTCACCATCCTCCTGACTGCTGCCCGTCCTATACCCCACGAAAAATCCGATGCAGATTCATGGCAAGTTACTTTGTAACGACCAGTGGGTGCTCCCAGCCTGCTGTCATGTAAGTGCCAAGCATCCCAGCCATATCTTGGGAGGAGGAACCTGATGATGGATGGATGCCCATAAAAGTCACATCCTCTGGATCCTGCAAGGTCAAGGGAGGCTGTGTCCTCATTCTGATCCTGCAGAGCATCAGATATGAGATGTTCCCATTGAAGATGGAAGCTAGGAAAGGAAGGAGAGAGCAGGAGCAGGTCTGCACCAGGAAACCCCCATGAGTCACTAAGGAAGTCTCACAGGCTGAGGGAGCATCTCAGAGAGGAGATACCCTGAGTTCCTGCAGCAGAGAAAGGAACAAGCTGGGCTGAGTGGAGAATCTGAAGGGCCGGGAAGATGGGGCTCCCCATCTCTATCTGCAGAACCCTCCTCAATGTGTAACCTTTCTCCCCCTTGTTCCCCAGCTTCACCACCAAAAGGGGGCAGCCTGTCTGTGCCAACCCCAATAATGCAGAAGTTCAGGATTGTGTAATGAACCTGAACAGGATTCAACTTGAGCTCCTGGCAAATTGTTGACTGATAAGAAGGGATACTAGGTCCCAGCCATCCATATCCATTCTCTGTTACCTCATCTCCTGGGAGCTTCTTGGCCTGAATTATTTTTTCAAAAGCAATAATTACTGTTCTGTTTTGGTTATAAAAGCTGTGCATTAATAAAACATATCCAATTTAACTTCACTTGACCTTTGAGAGGAAAAAGAAATGCAGGAATTGCTGAACTTTGGATTTGTGTGTTTTTCAAAATGAGACATCAGAGTATCATTTTTTAAGAAGCTAAAAACATGAGACTCATTCAGCCCTGGCCAGTGTGCTCAATGGTTAGAATGTAGGCCCTCACACCAAAGGGTCTTAGTTTTAACTTCCAGTCAAGAGCACGTACCTGGGTTGCAGGTTTGATCCTGAACCTGATGGGGCACGGATGGAAGGCAATGAGTTGATGCATCTCTCTCATATTGATGTTTCTTTCTCTCTCTATCTCTCTCTATCTCTCTATCTCTCTCCCCTCCCCACCTCCTTCCCACTGTCAATGTGAAAAAATATCGAGTAAGAATATAAAAAATAAATAAAAATTTAAAAAACATGACTCATTCAAATTTGAAAGATCGCATATATACCAAAGATGTACTTAACCTATTAATAAGGGAACCATAAAACTGATTCTATAATCATCTGAGGAACAGAGATTTATACAGTTAGTTGGGGGTGGCATTCTGAAATTTGGTTAACTTAGAGAAAAATAAAGTAATATTCAATACTAGAGGCCTGGTGCACAAAAATTTGTGCCCTGGGGGGGGGGATCCCTCAGCCCGGCCTGTGACCTCTCACAGTCTGGTATCCCTCGGGGGATGACCACCTACTGGCTTAGGCCCATTCCCCAAGGGAATGGGCCTAAGCTGGCAATCAGACATCCCTCTGGCAGCCCGGCAGCCCTCGGGGGATGTCCACTTTCCAGCGGGGAGCAGACCTAAGCTGCAGTCAGACATCCTTAGCGCTGCTGAGGAGACAGGAGAGGCTCCCATCACCACCGCTGTACTGGCAGCCATCAGCCTGGCTTGTGGTTGAACAGAGCTCCCCCATGTGGGAGCGACTGACCACCAGAGGGCAGCTTCTGTATTGAGCATCTGCCCCCTGGTTGTCAGTGTGTGTCATAGTGACCAGTCATTCCCAGTCTTTCTGCTGTTAGGCCCCTGGTGGTCAGTGTGTGTCATAGTGACCAGTCATTCCCAGTCTTTCTGCTGTTAGGGTCAGTTTGCATATTACCCTTTTACTATATAGGATAGAGGCCTGGGTGCCTGCTGGTTTGCCTTGAAGGGTGTCCCAGATCAGAGTGGGGGTCCCGCTGGGGTGCCTGGCCAGCCTGGGTGAGGGGCTGAGGGCCCTTTTCAGGCTGGCCTGTGACTGAAGCTCCCAGCCTCTCCTTTTTTTCTTTTTTCTTTTTATTCTGGGGTTTGTTTACCTTCTATAATTGAAACTTTGTTGCCATCACTGGAGCTGAGAGCCAGCTCCTACTCGCTCCAGCTCTAAGGCCACGGCCTGCTGAAAGCAGGTATCTGGGGTTTGTTTAGCTTCTATAATTGAAACTTTGTTGCTTTTGGAGCTCAGAGCCAGGCCGCAGCAGGCGGGGAACCTTGGCTTCCTCCATCACTGGAGCAAGCAAGCCTCCTGCTCACTTCAGCTGCGTGGCTGCGGCCACCATCTTGGTTGGGTTAATTTGCATATTGCGCTAATTAGGCAATGGGAGGCGTAGCGAAGGTATAGTTAATTACCAAGTTTGTCTATTATTAGATAGGATTGCAATATAACTGTAATTTTTGCAATTATCTTTTCTACTGAAAATAAAGCCCCACACATTTGCATCTGTGCCGGACAAAAATTTACAAGTTAACATGTAAGTGCACAAAGTTGGTGGCCTGATCAATAGTAAATAGAGCATCAATCAAAAGTTCATTCCCCTCCGCCCTCACAGATGAAAGGAGTCCTGGGGTGGGCCTTTTAGACAATTTCCCAATGTAATTGAAAGGCATGCACTCATCCTGTTGCCTTATTTCCATTTGGAATGTTTTTTCTTAATAGATATACTTCTTAAAAGATGTCTTCTTTAAAGTTAAAGGACATTGAGGAAAACATTTCAAGTTGAAGTTAATATCAGTTTGACATCCATACCTTTAAAGCCTATACATTTATATTTACAATTAGTAAATCTTGGTCAACTGTCTCATAAAACTCAGAAGATAGCACTGAATTCTAAACAACAAGAAAGCTTTTCTAGGCGCCTGTCATAAAGGCTGCGTAGATTAATTGTTTGAAGTAAATAGAGTTTTCCCGAGCTTCCTTTTTATAGGTATTCATCTCAAAAGGCTTGAAAAACCAAGAGGATATGAGGATCACTCTCTAGAAAAACAAAAAGCACCCAGGCATACTCAGCCAAAAATCTGAGTTATGTGTGACTTAGTCGATACAGAGATAGACAATCATATAGAGAAAATATTCCTGCTGCAGAGAGGACATTTGCAACCGAATTCAGTGTATGAAACATAAGGACTTGTGCACTATGGTTTGACCTTATGTTTATTTTTCCTTTGAGATCATGAGTTACTAGAAGGGTAAGACCCTGTCTTACCCATCTTTTTGTCTACAGTACTAGGTACAGTGCCTAGCATATTCTCTTTTAACTAGTTTATTGTTTTATAGTATATGTTTATTGATTTCAAAGAGGAAGGGAGAAGGAGAGAAAGAGAGACATCAATGATGAGAGAGAATCATTGGTTGGCTGCCTCCTGCATGCTCGCTACTGGGGATCGAGCCCACAACCTGGGCATGTGCCCTTGACCGGAATCAAACCTGGGACCCTTCAGTCCTCAGGCCATTGCTCTATCCACTGAGCCAAAACAGGTAAGGCTAACTTGTTTGTTGATTGGCGCTTTTTAAAATTGATTTTTTACAGAGAGGAAGGGAGAGGGATAGAGAGTTAGAAACATCGATGAGAGAGAAACATGAATCAGCTGCCTCCTGCACACCCCCCACTGGGGATGTGCCCACGACCAAGGTACATGCCTTGACTGGAATTGAACCTGTGACCCTTCAGTCTGCAGGCCAACACTCTATCCACTGAGCCAAACCAGCTAGGGCTCACTTATTTATTGATTGGCATTTTTTAATGAATGGGAATACTTATGCTAGCATGAAATAATTACCCTACAGTGTATTTTATAGAAGTAATGAATGACCTAATCTATTGAGCAGTTAGTTATCTCATCTGTCTTCCTCCAAACTGTTTGTCAGGCTTAGAACCCAGGTGGCAGAGGTACCCAAGAAGATCGATACAAAAGTGGTTGTCCCTTGAAAGGTTTGATAATTCAACGGGCTATTTTTAATGTCATGTGAGGCTAGTTATAATCACTTCCCTGAAGCCAAAAAGAATCCATTTCCTAAAGAGCACCATTAATTAGCTTAATAAGGATTAATGACATACAAGGCTCTAGGTGCCATCGACAAAGGATCATAATTGAGTTTTTATAGAAAAGAACATCTCCTTATATCTCAATAAATAGAATTATTCGGCAAGCATTTCATCTTTGACAAGGAAGATGAAGAGATTTTTATTTTGTAATTAGTAACGTTAGGGGCATTTTTGATATATTTACTTATGTAAACATTTCTAACTATACCACTTAACCATCATTTTTTAATTATGTTTTTAGTGATTTCAGAGAGAGAAAGGGAGAGGGAGAGGGAGATAGAAACATAATGAGAGAGAATCGCCCCCAGGATTGAGCCTGAAACCCGGGCAGGTGCCCTGACCAGGAAGCAAATCATGACCCCCTGGTTCATGGGTTGATGCTCAACCACTGAGCCATATTGGCTGGGCTTAACCTCATTTTATTTTTTACTTTTTTCATTGATTTCAGAGAGGAAGGGAGAGGGAGAGAGAGATAGAAACACCAATGATGAGAGTGAATCTTTGATTGGCTGCCTCCTGCACACCCCTTACTGGGGATCAAACCTGCAACCCAGAGATGTGCCCTTGACTGAAATCAAAACTGGGACCTTTCATTCTCTATCCACTGAGCCAAACCAGCTAGGGCTTAACCATCATTTTAAACATTTATTTTTAATATTAGTATAACAATTCCTACATTGAAATCCTTAACACCAGTCTGCTCTCTTGGTAACTGAATATGTTCTTAATAATACTGTTTACATAACTCATCTGATTAATTAAACATTTAATGTATAAATGTCCATCTAATTTAGATTACTGGTATATTATCAAAAATTCTGAGTTAATGGTATTTAAATTAGTGCAAGTGTTCTATATTTTATTGTCCTATAGAAGACAATTTGAGGTTAAGCAAAAGTCCTCTCTTCTCTTACAGCCCTTCAAAAGTGTTAAAATCATTATAGGTTGTAAAAACACACACCATAGGCCCAATTTCATCCATGGGCCCTACATATAAATATAAGCAGATGGCATATGAACACTTATATAACAAGGCTCATATGGATGTGTATAATAATTCAGACCTCATTACCACTTTTCCTGTATATTTAAAAAGTTTTTCCTGTCTATATCTTGTCTATATGATTATAAAATTGGAAATGCATTGGAGACATAAAATGCTAGAGATGGGCTGGAGCACTACACAACTTACAGAATTGTAGAATTTTATTCCTGGCAGAAATTGTAGACATTATCTAATTTGAACCCCTTCTTTATTTTACATATAACTAAAAACTCATAAATAAATATAATTTACAATTAACTTACAAATACTTGAAGAATAGCAGGCCTTCAAATGTGTCCTTGTGTAATTCTTTCCAATTATTTTTGCTGAGATTTCTAAAAAATATAAGTTATTTCTTTTTGTTTTGAAATATATTTTTCAGTCTGCAGGCCGATGCTCTATCCACTGAGCCAAACTGGTTTAGGCTACTGAAATATATTTTTATTGATCTCAGAGATTAAGGGAGAAAGAGAGAGATAGAAACATCAATGATGAGAGAGAATCATTGATCAGTTACCTCCTGAATGCCCCACACCGGCATGTACTCTGATCAGAAATCAAACTGGTGATCTCCTGGTTCACAGGTCAATGCTCAACCACTGGGCCACGCCAGCCATGTTGAAAAGGTTATTTCTGAATCAAAATGCAAAATAACTACAACTATTTACTGCTCAGAAATATATATATTGAAAACCTGGGTAAATGTGCC